CAGACCTGCTGAGCCCGGGCTGCTTTCCCGAGACATCACCTGGGCTGGGTGTCTCCTCAGGAGAGAAAGCCAGACTGGATCAGCTGCCTATGGGTAACCCACAGCTGGCTGCGCTGCCCGGGGCTGTTTGTATTCTGCTGTGGGTCCCGGCTCCTTACCCCGGCTTCCAGGGTGCCCTACATTTTGTAACACGAGGTTACTGAATCAAGGACAGAGCTAACATCAGGAGCCTCCTCTGTAAGTTCCGATTTACCTCTTCCCTGTGAGCATCCCAGCCAACAGGCGATAGACACCCTGCAGTCTCTGTACAGCCCAGCAGCTGCTATTTTCTGCATCTTATTCACTGCTGAAAGCTAGGATGTTTTCTCAAGAGGTGGAAGATTTGGCCTTGAAGGTCTTTGGAGGGAGGGGAGGAAGGAATTTAGATCTTGCACTCTTCACATAAAATGCAAAAGGCACAAGGGCATTTACATTCTGCAGGCAGTGTAGACACCCTGCAGTCTCTGTACAGCCCAGCAGCTGCTATTTTCTGCATCTTATTCACTGCTGAAAGCTAGGATGTTTTCTCAAGAGGTGGAAGATTTGGCCTTGAAGGTCTTTGGAGGGAGGGGAGGAAGGAATTTAGATCTTGCACTCTTCACATAAAATGCAAAAGGCACAAGGGCATTTACATTCTGCAGGCAGTGGTGGCTGTAATTGTATTTTGTGAGAGGCCTGTCAATATGAGATAGCTATGATGTGAGAAAGCCTTCTGACTTGAGCTCTTTGGGAGACTTTGGAGGAAATTCAAGAATTTTAAGCTCGGCTCCATTCAGCCATGGATTAGGATGCCGCGGTGCTCATGTCTAACAGCCAGGGCTAGGATGTGCCAAATTGCAACTTCAAAGTAGAAATTAAGTGCTGCAACTGCAGAGCACCTCCCATGTGTAGGCAACAACTAGGTGTTGGTGGTTTGTTTTTAGATCGCAGTCTTAAACCAATCACTCTTCCTTTTTACAATTACAATGTAGGCAATTAGATCTACTCCAAGTCACGGTTTAGGAGTCAATCCTTTATTGGATTTCACCCTCACTGACTACTTAGGAAACTCTCTGCCTTTGATCCTGTTGATGCACCATAAATGGGATTCTGCAGATCCTGCTCGGTCTGTGTGAAAGAACATTTGAGGGTAAAGAAGTTTGAATTTCACTCCTTGCCATATGGAAAACATGTGTGACTCATCTCTCCTTAGTTGGATCCCAAGGCACAGCCGATCAGATAACTCACTGATTACCCTGGACTTGATGACGCAAAGTGGGGTGGGTGGGGGGTCACTGTGACGATGATTTCCAGTTCTGGTCAGAAAAGCTGGACTGAGGAGGACTGGTTTTTGCTCTGCAAGCTGAAGCTTAAGGCTCAGTCCTGGAATCTCAGTTGAGTCTGGAGAAGCAGTGGCTGGGAAGTACTTTGTTATTTCCCCCTCCCAAGGAAACCGTAGTCTGTGCTTTGTGGACTCAGCCCTCGGCCCAGTATCCTGTGCACTCCGGGGGAGTGCTGGGCCCTGACGTGACGACATTTTCTAACTACACCGGCTGCAGAGCCCAGACACTCACCGACTTGGTGGCACTTTCTGCTCCATTTGATTGCGTATCAATTCTTGGTTCAGATCCGCACTTGCCGGTTTGATGGATTCACGTTTGTTGCCTGACTACCTTCTTACTCGTATTTTCATCCTTCAGATCAAAAAGACTCAAGCAAACACCTGAAACAGTGCACGCAGGGGCTGAGGCAGGGTAAATCTTTTTTGCTGAAGAGTTTTGAGGGCTGCTATCTCCAGATGATGAATTCTCAGTCATTTGCAAAACTCATTTCTCTTACGGTCCTTTTTTTTCCTCTGTGCGTAAGCACTATTTTGCATGACAGTGGTTTTCTAATTCACAAGTCCATACTTTGGACACAGGATGTAGAAGATGAAATTTTATTAAAGATGACACTTTTGCAGTTGCTTACAGAGTGATGGAAGAGTATTTCTTGAGTAAGTTAAAATAAATATGCAGGTGGATTAATCTGCGTAGTAATTAAAATCATCTGTAGAATTCTTAAAGTGTTCAGAACTTGAAGGGAATAATTTTATACTAGTTGAAGCTTTTGTGTTTTCCTGTTTATTGTTTGTTTCTGTTTGTAAAAATTCAATGCCGAGTTTTGGGACATCTGCGAGTCGTCTAGAGGGCAAAATAGATTTAACTGTAGTTCTCTGAGGAAGGAAAAGCATAACCCTGCAAATAAGCTTTTTTTTCCTTCCTCATCAGTGGATAATTTAAAACATCCTCTTTCTTTGTGGCTCTTGAGCTTTGATTCTCAAGTGTACTTAAGTGCCTAATTAAAGGAGAATTGGGTATTTGAATTCCTGTGTGGCCCTAAGCTGTAGGGTTTAACTGACTTTGTGACACTCTGTGCCTCTCGCCTTGCAGGTGTGGGTATGGCCATGAGAAAAATGGGAAGCATGGCCAAACCAGATGTTTACATTACTAAGGATGGGGACATAATCACTGTAAAAACAGAAAGCACCTTCAAAACTTCACAATTCAGCTTCAAGCTTGGCGAGAAATTTGAGGAAAATACGTTAGATGGCAGGAAAACTCAGGTCAGTATATTAGACTCTCTGTTGAAAAACCACAATTCTTTCGGTGTTTTACAGATGGAGATGCTATTTAAAAATCACTTTTGACATCCACAGTAGCAATGCTTTATTTGATGAACAGCTGTCTCTGTAAGTCTCATTGAAATAAGTTCTTTTTGTTTTCCCCATGGATTAAGCAACTTCCAAAGAGGGGAAAATGCTGAAACCAATCATGTCTTGTCTATTTTGTTTTCCATTTGTAGCAGAAGCATTGTGTTAGTCAAACTAACAGACCTCTAAATCCCTGTTGAAGCCAAATGCCACTTCATTTGAAGCCTATGGAAAAAAAAAACCCATTGATGTTTAATCAGAGGCAATTCAGCCCTAGGGTTAACCTTTCTGCTCTGCCTTGTATTTACATAACAAGAGAGCCTGGGTCAGTGTGCAGTGGGATAACAGAGACAAGGCATACATGGGCATCACAGTCCCTAATCTCCAGTTGGAGAAGGCAAAGAGCTTCTCCCTGCACCAAGGAGGGAAAATATTCCTCCAAAAGGAGGTTAAACACAAAGAAGCCCTCAAATAGGTCTCTCTCATTTCCTTGTGTGAGTGCTCTCTGCGTACCACCCTCCCCTCCAGCCACAGACTGGCAATTCATCTGTTATTGCAAGATCAGATAAATGTTACACAAAAGCTCAAAGCCCGTGTACAAAGAGACGAGCAGAGAACATCGTCTGCTCCTGTTAATTGAAATTGTGCATGCTGGTCAGAGGTCTGTCTGAGGCAGGGATGGGTCAGAGCAGTGAGTGAACAAGCAGGGACATACTGTAAGAAAAGGATCAATAAAGCATTTAAGATAATATCCTGGCTTTGTAGATGGCAATGGCAAAATTACTCCTGAGTGAGCAGGGGTGGGAATTTTTCCTTTGGAATAAGGTGTTGGAAAGCCTCGGTCTCCATCAAATGTTGTGGGTAAGATGTTGATGTTTGGGTTCTTCTTTCAGACCCTTGTCAGCTTAAAAGATGATGGGTCATTGATTTTTTTTTTAAGAAGACCATAATAACACGGAAACTAGTGGATGGACAACTGGTGGTGGTGAGTTCAGTCCTGCTTTCTGATTCCTGGGTGCTGCTGGCCAGTAGCCTGAAAAGTAACTCTAAAGATCTTTTTCCTTTTAGGCGAATTAATAACTCCATCTCTTTGTCTTCTAGGAATGTGACATGAATGGTGTCAAGTGTGTTAGAGTCTACCAGAAAGCATGAGGACATATTCAAGTTCAGTAGGAACTTGCTACAAACAACTCAGTTCAGTGGACAGAGCTCCTTTACACTCCTTATTTTCCTTTTCCCTGTTTTCTAGTATTTCAATGGACTGAGTAGCTGAGTGCAATCCTTTTTAAAAGCCGTGATGTAACTATTATGTAACTATTCTGAATTTATGAGGCTATTAAATAAAATTATCAAATACACAAACTGGAAATGTTGTTACTATAGTGGAATTTTGAAGAGAGGTTTCATAAAAACTCCATTTGGTTTTAGGTTCTACTACAAACTGCCTTCAGTTCAAGATAACGAAATATATGGCAACAAACAGTTAACAGCAAGCTGAATTCTGACCAGCATCCTTAATTGCTGAGGCAGTAAAACCTGAAATAGAAAAGACATCCAGAGTTCAGGTTCTAGAGTCATTTCTAACTTACACGTTACAAAGTAAATAGAATTGGGTGGGCATAAATGAGGGAGAAGCTTTGGTGGTGTTTGAGCAGAGGAATGTATTTGCAGAGGTTACTTCGTTTTTTCATGTTTCAAACCCCAAAATTTCTTATCTGAAAAAATAACATGCTGGTGAGCAATGGACATGACAAACTTTAGCAAACACGTACATGCTTTACTGAAAGGAAACCTTATTTTGAGAAGACTTTGTTTTCTTTGCAAGATTCTTATTTCCTGTCTAGTAACATTCTAAAAATTCTTAACCAAAATCTACTGGAATACTGCCTAAACTTAAAGCCTCATTTTATTATTTTTTTTTTTAAACTGGCTTGAAAGACCTAGTGATGGAGTTTATATGCTTTAAAGTGCCATAATAAATGATCAGAAATATCAGTGTCTTGAGTATTACTTTCAGACTGGTTGGGAAACAGAGCCTATGATGATACTCTTCTTCCAAAAGGTTGTCAGATCAGACAAAAATAAAAAGGTTTAGGTGAATTTCTGTCACATCAGACAAACGTGTCCTAAAGATGAAACTGTTTGCCCACAGGCAATGGGGAGATTTCTATCAGATTCGGAAGCCCGGGTGATCGTGCAATCGCGCACTTCCAGTTTGCAGCAGCAGTTGTTGCAGAATCCATTGCTGCTTCAACCCTACTGATGTGCGTGTGTTGTATCACTGGGCTTACCGTAATAGCAGAAAAGTCTGGTGTTTTTTACGTCCATCCTACCAACCATGGAAAATGACTTTTCCCACAATTTTGAACCATTTGTCCTTTTCATAATTTCTGGACTATTTGTGAATCATCCCCTTTACCTATGTCATCTGAAAGAATTTATAGCTGCACCATATTTCTTGAGATTTTTTTTTTTATGATCTGTATAAAAGTAAAAATTTTCCCTGATCTCTTAATGTTTCCTTTTTGAGTTGGCCAATCTTCATATCACCTTCATTTAGTATTTTTCCTGACTTTAATGTGAACCCTGAAGATCTATGCCATATTCTTATGTGGGACATTAGAAACAGATATTTTTTTTGTTGTTATTAGGGGAAGGAATCCTCATAGAAACAGAAAACAAACTGATCTGATGAGGAACCTGAGAAGTTTGCCATCAGAAATACATGAAATAGTAGCAGGAAAATGGGTGCAGCAATGCACGGCATGATATGAAAATCCTGCCTCCCTTCCAAAGGAAACACCATTACTGCTTTAAGCGGGACATTGCGCCTTCTTGGGAGTCCCTGGTCTATCACTTACTGCTGCTTGTTTACTCTTCTGATATTGGGTAGCATTAATTGTTTATCTTTCATTTGAATGGAAAAAGCTTCCAATGTCTTTTCGAGGACATCCGTTTTGATTACAATGAGATCATTTCTTGTAAAACAAAAGGCAGAGGAGTACCTTTTTAGAGCGATTTCCTTTGGAAACTACGCTTGTAAAGTCTGTGTTTGTGTATGCGTGCTCTCTGATTTCAGTCACATGTGAGGTAGAGGCTAGAGGTCCCAAAGATAATTATTCTTCCACAAATGTCATGAAAATAGGCGGCATGATGAAGGAGATAGACCATTAAAGTGCCTTGATGATGGAAAGACTGCACATGGAAGCGACACTTTGTTTGACATTAAATGGAAGGAAAACATTATAAGCCCTCTTGGCACACGTAAGAAGTGTCCCAAAAGTTGACCAATGGTGAGATGCAGATCAACAGGAAACTGGAATTCTTTAGAGCTGATTCTCCAGAACTACTTAGGCTCATATATTTATTTGCTTTATTTTGATGTTAGCTTCAGTCTATGTTGCTGGTAACTTCAGTGTAAGTGTCCTGTGACCTGGAACTACCATATATACAACCTGTTTGTGTTGGATTAGACCATACTTAAAATGGCAATTGTTTTATAGTATGGCAAGCCAGGATTTATAATGCTCAAGACTTGAAAATATAATTAATTTCCAAATTTCTTCTATTTGTTATTATACAAGTCAAAAGTTTTACTCTTCATGACATGTGTATACACAATGTTCTCATCAACGTAAAATAACCAACTGTCCTGAGAGCTGAATAACTCTCTGTAGTTCACTGTATCATGTAAGATAGTGGAAAATAAGACTTCCAAGAACAACTGAAAAAGAAGAAATTCTGCGTTATCCAGCCAGGACTGTTTTATAATGCTACAGAATTATGAAATAAGGAGACAAGTTTTAATGTGAAATTTTAGTGCATGTTTTTGGAAATATTTTGGAGAGATAAAAGAAACACGTTCAGCAAACTGAAGCTGCAAGTAAAACTTGCTCAAAGAGAAGCAGTTTCCGTATCCACTCCAAGAGATGTTCATTTAAAGTCATGAGCAGTGTCTAATGCTTATCTTTATATCTCACTGTCTTCTCAAATTCGTGTAGTTCTGCTGTTTTCATAGAAGGGGGCTTGATCTGTTTGTTTGTTTGTGTTTGGTTTTGGTTTTGTTTTCTGGTGGGTTTTTTGAGGGCTTTGGGTGGGACTTTTTTGGAGATAAACAGGGGTAAATGAATAGATAATGAGGTTGTTTAGCAATTTAGACCTGATATTCTATCAAGAGGGAAATCTCTTGTCTGAGCTTTCCAGGAACACTAATGAAATGGCACTGTGCTTTGGGGAGAGCGTACTGGCTCTATACAATGCTCAGACTATCAAAGATTTTCCTGTTATGATTTGGTTATATGATTTATTTCAAAATTGTTATCCTACTCTGCCTGCCATCTCTGCAATTAATACTGGCCTTTCCTCTTCCTCTCCCCTCCCTAACTCACACATGCACTTCGGATCAAAGTTTTTTAAAAAACAAAGTCAATGATGGGAAATCTCTCAGTTTTCTGGTTATAGTCCCACTGTTAGCTGTCAGCTGTCCTAAAAAAAGGCAGTGATTATTTCTTCAAGTGTGAAGGTCAAGTATAGGAAGATAGTCTTGTTCTGCCAATGGCTACTTGGGTGACATTAACTGTGAGACTCAAAAAAGAAAATGAATCATTGAATAGGCACTCTGGGGTTTTTTTGTTTTGTTTTGTTTTGTTTTGTTTTTTTTTTCAGGTTAGAACTGAAAAATCTAGTATTGTTGATTCTAGTGAGTATAAACAATAAACAACCTTCTCTACTTCTGTGTAATATTATGTCCAATATATTCTGTTGTTCATAAAGCAGTCCATTCAACTTAACTCTTATTAAAGTCAGATGTTGAAAATAAGAGTCCTGCAAGTATTTTTCAGGGCCTCAAGGGGTCTTGGCCACAAGGCTTCCCCTGACCCCTGTTCAGGAGCCCCATTTCAGCTCAGCCTGGGGCATCAGTCCGTGCCTGAGCTAGTTGTCAGAGGGCCAGTCTCCAGCTCAGATACCCGCAGATTCTACACACAAAATCAGGCATTAATCTCATTCCTATGAATGCCTTATAAAGGGCCTGTATTCTGCTTATAATTGTTTTAGAAAAATAAAAGCAGTAATGCAGGCCAGCTCAAATCAAACCTTTGTGGGTGACTCTGTCGCTGCCTGAGTGTGTGCTAACACAACGAATGCGTTAGAACCCCTTTGCACTATGCTGATTATTTGTGCTTGTAGGGGAAAAAAAACCCCACACAGTATGATAGTGGGTGGGAGCAAGTTAACATACATTAATTATTCTTCGATGCCTCATTTCAGTCCCATTGTTGAGCCCTGGGAGGATTTAGCACTATTTTCATAGGTTTTGGAGACAATCCAGTGTCTGTGTAAACACATTTTTGTCCCATGATTCTCCTTCTAGCTTTGGCTTTTCAGCCCTGGTACATCAAATTAAGATTTTGTTGACACTTCCCACAATGGTTTTACTTCATACTATTATTTGAGAGGAAAAGGAAACACTATTAGAGACCCCGCTCCCAAGAGTGAATTTGGCTTCCTTTCCCGCAAAAATGTTTCCAAAATCAATTCCCTCTACCAGGTGGTCTTAATTATATTCTGGAGATATGTACAGGTGAAGTCCATTGTAGTTTCAGAAGAAATGTAAAGTTTCAGCAGTAAGTGCAATCTAGAATCAGTTTCAAATAATGTCTTGCAAAAATCTACTGAATCCCAAATTTTATTGTTGAAACTTTAAAATAAATAACACATTTGTCATTAATCATGGATGTACACTCTGAAATTAAACACCAGAAGACAAATATCCCACTCTGAGGACCATGCATACTACTTATCTAGGACTGGACATTCGGTCCCACATATGTAGCATCTGGTTCCCTCGGAAATTCCCGCTTGAATTCAATGAGTCTACCTTCAGAAAAGGCGTTAGCTAAGGGTGCAGCTCAGCTCATTGTGCAGTGCAAATGCCCAACAGAAAATGAAGGGATGAAGTGCAATTTTCAGGCTGGACTGGCCGCACACCCCAGGGGCATTCTCGCTCTGCGGCTTGATGTCTTCCAGGGCCATGCAGTACAGTCCTGTATGGTGAACAGCAAATTTGGAATTATAAAGAATAGGGTAGCCTGCATGTCTTGACTTCAGCAGCAACCTTGAACTGAGACCAGAGAGTCTATGACAGAGAGTTTCTGGAAACTCCTGGAGTACAAGGGCTCTTTGGGTACGTGGAAAGTTGAACTGAAGGCAACTCAGACTGACTCCTCGCTCTAGAAATTATGGCCAGGCCTTGTTATGGGTTTGTAATTTAATTCTGTAAGTAGCCCAGTGAAGTAGAGGAGTAGGAATTATTCCTATTTTGTTGCAGAGTGTAATTAAGGCAAAATATC